ATACAACTAAATAAAATCTCTATACCTGAAAAAAAAAATAGCAAAACAAAATAAAATTATTCATAATGCGTTAAGCTATCGTAAAATAACCCAACAGTCTTCAGGCATTACGGGTTTTAATTCTTGAAGATGATTAAATTTAGTTTTTTTAATCTTTAGTTTCTTAAAAACTTCTTTACAAACAATCGACTCATTTCATTTTATTCTTTGCGGCAGTGGTGTACAATTATCATCAAAATTAAGCTTGTAAAAAATTATTCCTTCAGGTGTATATTTTAGGGCTCTCATATCAACCACATTTGGATCTCCGGCTTTTCTTCCAGATCTTATAGACGAGTATATCAAATTATCATTAAAATTGGTTCTGATCTTGCCTCTTCTGTTATTCGGACATAATCACCAGGAAGGAAAATTTTTTTATTACGTAGTTTTCTTTCTATGGTAGTATGTACACTATCGCATTCTATCTGCGTATGACCTTTGACGAGATATGTTTGTTCAATGATAATATTAAATTCCTTTGATAAATTTAAAAGTGCATTGGACATAACACTATTTTGTTTCTGGTAGGTGCAACCATCTGAGTAAATAATAATGGGTTTTCCATCACTTAAGTGTCTTCGTATGTAGTCCACAAGTGATGCAAATGTGGATGCTTCTAAATCAGCTTGGGTCTCGTCAAACCAGTAACATGTACACTGTCTCGTTGCAAGATTACACACCGTAAAGTTATGGACACAGAGTTTTGTTTTGAAATACACAGCACTATTGAGGGATACACTTTTACGGCTTGGAGATCCATGGTCACAACATGCTTAACTCCTCTTAAACTTTCTTCCTTGTCATTTACCTTTCCCGCTCTAGCTCTATCTTTTTGTTGTTGGTGTTTCTGCCTCTCTTCTTCGGTAAGGTATTGACAACAGTATCACATTCATCTTTCTTTGGCTTATAGAGTGAGATATTTTTGTTTTTTAACAATTTGGTCAGGGAATTTTGGCTCATTGCCGTTTCATTTGATTCCTTCGCGGACACTTTGTAAAGCTCAGTAATTGTCGTTAATGACTGCTCTAAATACATTTTATTAGTATCTTTTCTACAATAATGCGAAGGCAATTTATTCAGGTTGTCTATAAATGAATTCATGAATTCATTGGGAACCCGAAAAGACCTTGAGATTCCTTTTGATTTTATCTGTTTTTCTTTGTATTCATTTATCCCATATTTACTGCGAGCAACCCAATTATTAACTTGCCATTCATGAAGACCAAGTGTGGACAAAAACATTTTCTTGCAGACGGGGATGTTTTCTTTACCAGCTTTCAGGGTATATCTGAGTTTTCCACTAAGTCTTCTTCTTTATTTTCAGTTTTACGTTGTTTTGGACTTTCTTTGGTAACCGTAATGTTTTTCTTTGATCCCAAAATTTTGAAAACATCTCTTGTCTTACATCTTTAGATGACATTTTCTGTTTTTAGATCTAGCACAAAACGTCGAGGTACATGTTGGTCCCAATTTACTCTCCTCTTTCTGTGTATCGTGGAAGGTATTTGTTTGGTTTGCTGGTCTTCGATATCCCAAATATTTTTTTTCCTTTTTCCCTTAGTTTTTGATTACTTTTCTTAGTATTGATACCCAGTAGTCGCTTTACTGCTTTTTTAGTGGTATTATCGTGAGCAATAATACTTCATTATTAGATAAGTCATCAGATTCACAGTCTTCTTCAGTAGGATGATAATCACTGTGAATATTTGGCATTACTAACGAAGATGGATCATGATTGATGGGATCCAGAGATGAGGTACTGACAGTGCTAAAATTTGCCATATTACCGTGTACCAACTCTCTAGGTTCTTGCTCTAAAGTCATCATCATAGTATGAGCATCCGGGTTTTCTTCCAAATTGTTGTCGACTATATTTTCGTTTAAATCACTATCCAGCTTCTTATCCGGATTAACAAATATGTTTTAAAATCTGTGCGCTGGAATTTGCAGTTTAAGGGTCCAAGTTTTTCAAAAAACTATCATTAATCGAGATATCTACTGGGAGCTCCATTATATTAAATAGGGAATCATCATGTTGTTTTTCATTCATTCATTCATTCATTCATTTTGGCGGGTTTCTTTGTACTTTATTCTTCTAGATTGCATAGATCAAAAATTATTTTCGTGCGTGAGTTCATTTTTAAATTACTAACTTTATTTTCACACCTGAAAAAAAAAAACAATACCTCGTAACTCAATTTCAGATATTAATTCAATAAGTCGTAAGTCAATATTCAAAGAAAACACGACTCCATAGCAATACTATAAGTTATAACCAATGTTTTAATACGAAAACACAATTATAAACTACTTACGTCTCTTTTAATAAAAACTTCCTAATGCAATATTAATTGCAAATTCTAACAATTATTGACTAAAACGTAACACCTAATTCACACACCTTACTCTCATTCAAATACGCTGGCTTACGAAGTATTTACTTGACAGAGAGTTGAAGTGATGCTATGAACGTAAACGTATACGTGAAAATTGACATCTACGCATGCGTATTCAAATATCCTTCACGTTCACGTCTACGTACATACGTAAGCTTGCGGGCTCTGGCGTATGCACGTAACGCAAATAAAATAACCTCTTTTTAATTGGGAAAGAAGAAATCCTAATAATAATTGTCATTATCTGTCATGACACGTAAATGTTACGGTGCGCTTAACAACTTCAACTCATATTTTGGACTATACTGTAAACATTATTTTAGAGCGTTGACGTTCACGTTTACGTTAACGTACTAGAAGCACTTCAACTCTCTATTTATCGAATTTGATTTACGTGGTCACAGTTCATATCTAAACAATCAGTTCGCTCACTCTGTGTCGGCACTTTTGATCTCAATGTATCCCTGGCTCATCACATCATAAAGGTGCGATTTCGGTGACGCGGCTGGCTGCGGCGGCTAGCAGCTGCGTCTCCAGCCCGCGCTGCAGCGGCTGCTGTTCGACTGCTCGCGAAGCAGTCGAGCGGCTGAAATCGTAGTGACTAGGGCAAAAAATGGCGCCATTTACGTTAAATGACGATGATATTTTAATCAACGAAATACAAAAATATCCCGTAATTTATGATTATGAAAACAAACATTACAAAAATTTTGTTATTAAAGAAAATTGTTGAAAAAAAAAAATAAAAAAATTACTTGCATAATTATTTTTCTTACCTTAATGTCAGAGCCAATTTTTCTTCGGACGTGATGGGATATTTAACAAAATTTGTTCCATGGATTGTAATGTCCTGTTCTATTAGTGACAAAACTTCCTAAACTTTTTTTCATCTTCTATTAGATGATTATTTATTAATAAATGAAAATAAATTTCAAAAATAAAATAAAATGTACCAGCACATGTTAGGAGGTTAATCGATTATTTTCAATTAATCGATTATATTTGAGTATTCAATTCGATTATTTTTGATTTATCGACTGTTCGATTATTCGTTAAATTGATTATTTCCGAATAATCAGATTAATCGATATATCGATATTACTTAATTGATTTTTAATCTTATAATATAAATATCGATTATTTTCGATTATTCAGTAATCGGTTTTCCGTAAAAAAAAAGAATCGACGAATCGATTAATATTAACATAAACGCTAGAAAATTCTACTCTCAAATGACACAAAAATGGTTGTTACCAAATATTCTCGATCTCCATAAATTACAAAATAATTCTACGATAATTATCACGAAATAAGGCTGACTGAGGTGTATGCCTTGTTAAATAGATACATACCCTATGTTCGCTTATCCTATTAGCAAATGGCGGCAGTCCGTACATTTCATACAGGGCGTCACGGAAAATGTCAAATGTTTATTTTTATATTGGGTAATAAAACGGTAGACAAAAAAATATCCATACATAATTTCTGTTGTAGTTTTTAATTCATTTAGATTGCTTGGTTTTATTAATAATTTTTAAATATTTTTATTAAATATGTTTATCCGTGGCGCTCTTTAACTTACTAGATTAGCTGAACTTGATGTCTAAGTTGTGTACTATAACATTTATCTAGAGATATTTATCTGTAAAAAATATTGTATATAAAATTAATATCAATAGATTCTAATAGTTGTATTTTAATATTGTGTTTTATTCTTTCCATAACTACCAAAATTACAGACAATCCTTACTTTTGACTTCTTCTAACAGCTCACCCTGTAGAGCTGCACACTTTGGGTCCACGAGAAAGTTGCCTTTATTTACCTGAAAAATAACATACTAAAATTTGAATAAATTACCCAAAATCAATATAAAAAGTGTGGGACCCTCTGTGTGCATATAGAAGAAAGCACTATTTGTAACGTCGAAGGAATTGAGAACCATTCATTAAATCTGACAAATGGGTTACCAAAAATTACATTAGTCCATATTTTCCAAAGCCAATTATTAGAAAAATGTGAAAAAAATATGTCAATTTTCATTGTAAAACCGTCAAAATCATGAGAAAAATTCGTTTAGGAATAGAATTCCAAACAAAATGAAAAAGTAAAGAAATTAATTTATAACTTGGTGGTATACCACACAGGATAAAAAATGAGAATATCGTAACTTTAAATTTGGACACACCCTGTATGCATCACAGCAAATTAATGTAAATGTTATTCATTTTTAGGAACGTTTGGTCTATTAAAATTATAACACAATGTAAAAACAACCAAATCTGTAAAACGTAACTATCTTGTAACGATGTTCCCTAGTAACACCGTTCTAGGGACGGGACGCCTATGGTTCAGCATGCAACCGTTTTAGCCAAGCAGAGATAGAGAGCTCCGAATTTAATTAGGCATTCCAACGACCTGTCCAAATGGCTACCAGTGGGTAATGACAGTTTAGATATGGCAACCCTGTTGTCACCCCAGATAGCACAAAGTCGTCTTAAAGACGTCTTTAAGACGTCTAGCATAAGACATTCGAGACGTCTTTAAGACGTCTGGTATTTCCTGAAAGACGTCTTTAAGACGTCTTAGAAGACGTCTGATGTTACAAAAAGCGACGTCTTATTAATGGCTTATATTGGTCTGTAGAGCTTAAAATAAACCATAAATAAGACGTCTTTAAGACGACTTATTAATAGCTTGTAATGGTCTTGTGAAGCCTTAAATAAGACATCAATAAGACGTCTTTAAGACTGCTTATTAATAGCTTATAATGGTCTTATGAAGCCTTAAATAAGACGTCTTATTAATGGCTTATAATGGTCTTATGAAGCTTTAAATAAGCCATAAATAAGACGTCTTTAAGATGTCTTCTTCGTTGCTTATAATGGTCTTGGGAAGCTTTAAATAAGCCATAAATAAGACGTCTTTAAGACGTCTTATTCATTGCTTATAATGGACTTGGGAAGCTTTAAATACGCCATAAATAAGACGTCTCATAAATGGCTTATAATGGTATTGTGAAGCTTTAAATAAGCCATAAATAAGACGTCTTTAAGATGACTTATTAATGGCTTATAAAGGTCTGGTTAAACTTAAATAAGCCATAAATAAGACGTCTTTAAGATGACTCATTAATGGCTTATAAAGGTCTGGTTAAACTTAAATAAGCCATAAATAACACGTTCATTATTTTTTTCTACCAATTCTATAACTTGTTTATAATATAAAATAATTTAAAAATGGGTATCATCGTGCATCTTGGTTATTAAAATTAGTAGAATAACCTTGCAGGTTATAAAGAATGCAAAAAATAGAATTAAAAATATTTATTGATAAAATATCTATTAATCACAGGTCACTAAGAGTTATTTTCTTTGTAGCGCATTCGATCACTCCTCTTTAGCCATAACTGGATTGATTTTTTCTTTCTTTTTGATTTGAAGTTACCTTTGTATAGTCGCTCCTGAAAAGAAATTTAAGTAAGAGCATTATAGTCACAGGAAGTTATACTTTGTAAAAGTTAGTAAAAACCGAAAGAACAATTTTATTATGAAACAAAACAAAAAATTAATTTCTTACAATTTTAAATCAATTTTTATAACAAATCATTTAAGACAATATGAGCTAACATGTGGCTTTTAATAGTTCTCGAAATCTCCATAAAATAAAAAAAAAGGAAATTGACGAATAACTGAATTAAATCTTATATTAAGATGTTTACTTTTTAATTCATTTAATTATTCTTATTTAAAAGAAACAGGATATTAATGTTTATGTATATAAACAAATATTCATTTATTACCTGTAGAAAGTATTCCAGGAACGTGATACATCGGTAACAGAAACTCCACTATTCTTCCTTCTCTGGTTTTAGTCCCATATTATTTAAGTAAAAAGAGACCAAACACAAATGTACAAAGTAGCCCAAACCTTAGATTATACAAACCTTAGATGGAACATAAGACACTGCGCATAAGCCCATTTCGAAATTATTAACACCCACCAATCACAGTTGAGAACATCACATGTCAGAGCGTTGTCCATCCAAATTTAATATGTCAACGAGAATTAATTTGGTATTTTAGTGACTTCAATTTTGGAAATTAACGTTGAAAATGCCAAGATGTGTTGTAAAAAGCTTTATTTATAATAAACCTGCGAAATGTGACGGAGATAAAAGAAACTTACATTTATTTCGGTGAGATATTTAATTTTTAAGAATTCTGTCGACGTCCATATTTGTTGATTTGAAAATAAACAGAATCGGACTTGGTCATTGGTACATGTTATAAGCAGCAAATAAAGGTTATTCTTATAAACTGTTTACTATTTCTTGTTTCATGGGGAATCTTTTTTTAGGAAGTGGAAAGAGAAACATACAATCAAATACAAAAATATCAATTTCATTGCCAATTTATTCGTTTCAAACTTCACAACTGGTTTCAATAGTTTTCTCAAAACTATTTATTTAGTATTTCTCTATAACAGTGTTA